AATAAATAAATATATATGCCTCTTGTTAATGGGGTCGTATGTTAAACAAACTTGTATCAAATAATGACATACGTTTTTTCGGAACTCTTTTATCTACAGCTCTTTCGGCCAAACTTTTAATACTAAGTACGTAGCGCAAGATGGTGGCTCCACCCAGAATCCAGCATGGAGTACACGCTTGCTTTGTGCTTTCAGACAACAGGACTAGACAGGTTTCATAAAACAGGCAACCGGCATCTGTCTGCCCTCCTAACTGTCGAAAGGTCTTGCGATCGAACCCCGAGGGCAGAGCACTAATGATAACATTATTAGCTGAAGAAATGTTTTCAGGGTGAGTAGTATTAGGGTCAACAACCCGTCCGTGTCGGTGAAACAGCTCCCCACCTCGTCGGTGCATTCCACTATACTTCATTGACGACAGTCACGAGGTAACGAGTGACCACTAATTTGCATATTAAAATTTTTCAGAAACCGTGGAAATAATTAGCAACATATGAAATGTAGCGAGGTTGGCATTACAGCTGGTAATTAATTTATTCGTGTATATTTTAGTAGTGGGACGTGACATACATTTTTGGTTTTAATGCGCCAGATTGTTTGAAGGGTCGCGGATGGGGTTAAAACGTTGGTATATAGAGTTCTAGAACGAATCTAAGAACATTTTGAGATTTTTCTAAGATGTCTGTATGAACACGACATTTAATTATGCGCTAAAATATTTTCATTAAAGTTTTACGGATAAGACGCATTCAGATTCCCGATGTATCAAGAACCCATGTGGAAACTGTGCAGTCCTCTACTGATTGGCCATTTCAAATCTTGTCCTTTGTTCGGCAGGAAAGAGTAACTTTGTTTTGCATGCACCTGTTTGTTGTCACGTGTGTATTTCCGCATAGAGACAGATAAGTGACTAAGTATACGGGTCCTGTTGACTCAGATGCGATACGAATTCGCTGGATTTTCAGAGACAGATAAGTCTACTTTGACTCGAGGCTTTGTGTACATAAATACACCAGTAAACGGTGTTTAATGACGCCACAACGGGTGATGGAGGCAGGATTCAACGTATTTTAGACGGGGTTCAAATAGGTTTACTCTGTGGCCTCCGTGTCGCCACGGAAGAAGCCCCTTATTTTGGGCGCCTGAGTTTGGTACGGAGAAGTAGAGAAAATGCTGTAATGCTCTTGCCAGAATTTTGAGTTTTGGCCACAGATTAGTCGTGGTTTCTGTTATTTTGAACACACTTCATACCGAATTATTTCGCCTAAAAAAATATACTTGATTGTTTGAGAAGCCTGTTGAGAAATGTAAGGCGAACGGAACCAGGCTGAGTTTCAATAAGATTTTTTCGTACATTTATCAGGTGAATTCGTCTGCCGGACGACTTATAGAAATTCTGGATTAGTTCCAGTAGTTAAAATGTAGGCCAACTTATTTTTAATTTCTGACATGCAATTTAGGTATTTAAAGCTCATTGGTAATTATATGTACCACCTGTTTTGTTACTAGCACTGCGTTTCGGTTGCATGTGTTCAAGCATGATTCTCACAAGAAACAGCGATCATTTCCCTAAACGGCGTTAACCAGTTGATCTTCGTAATGGTGA